TTTGCGGGCCCTCTTGCGGTTGGAGGGATTCATCTACGTCCGGCATATGGGGCGACCACGACCGGATCATCACGAGTACCAGGATAAGCGCCGCGGGCCAGAGGAAGAAACGTCTCGGGCCGCATTCTGCAACCCAGTACATATGTATTTAGATTTGATCACGCGAAGTTCTCTTATGGAAGACTCAACTCGTGTTTCGGCTCCTGCTGTCGAAAGGGGATCGTGTCGGTCTGAATGAGCACTGAGAACTCGCAGATGAAATTTTCTCTCTTTCCACGAGTTCTTTCTAGATCGATCTCGAAATTCCCCCCTATAATCTATTTCTTCCACCATAGCTCTCGACCATAGGGGAGCTGGATCACGCGCGTAGCGGTAAGGATCACCTTATGGCCTCCGATTTTGAAAGAAATCGGGCTGGACCACACAGCCACGGTCCCGGAGGCTTATTTTCACGTGGCTTCCGATGATGGATCCGGATAGCAAATGTGCAAAGGATGATGTTGAGGTACCGAGGAAGATCAAGGCCGCGTACAAGCATGCTTTTCCGGCAGCGGCTATCGAGCCCTCGCCACCTTCCGAAAGAGTGAGAAAAACATGCAGACCCCCTTGTGTCTGATCATATGGATACAGAAGTCCCCGGGATAGATGATGTTTAATTCTAGGACTTGATGAGTAGGTACGTCGGCATCGTACAGTCGTTCTCTGGAAGAGAGACGCGTCGACCCTTGCGCCTGGCGTCACGGTCTATTTGACCGACAACCCCAACAGGGACACAGATCCATCGTAGTCATTACGTTCGAGGACTGCTGACGTTGTGGAGGCGAATCACCAGCGCGACTGACGTCATCGGCTTCAAATAGCCGACTCCAAGCTTCCCACCGCCACTTCCGCCTCGCCGCCTCCGAACTAAGCGAGAGCAGACCGATATACATCGGATTGCGAAAAGTGAAGACAGGAAACTTACGGCTACCTAGTACATGCCCTATCTTTGAGAGGCGAGGGTTGATCTCGGCGAACATTGATCCTCTAAATATCCATGTCCTATTCATTACTACTCGACCATGTGAATCAGGTGCGAGATGGTTTCCGGAAAGACTCCCGTGGGCTCAGGGAGACAGAGAGCCTGTGTTCCTGAAGAGTTCAGACCAAAATTCCTGATGAATGTTCGATATGTCGTCTCCTCGCATTCGGTCAGAGGGACGCTATGCGAAAAATGCAAGCCCGAGCATATCATGACATGTATGCAAAAAAACAAATCACGCTCAGCTTTTTCAACGACGTATCGATCCTGGGGCCCAGCCCTTAAGCAGAGTAAGATCAATTTCACAGCGGTGGCTCTTCTCCGTAGAAGATGAGAGGCTTACTCAGAAGGTGTAACAAGCGCGTGGCTCGCGATGAGCATCCGCCCTCGTTTGTCTTCTAGTATTTCGTACCTGATACCAAGTATCAATCCGCAGATGGGTCGAATTTGCGAAACCGGCATCATATCATTAGAAGCCAGTCTTCGCATTATGCGAGCTTATCTCGCCTCGAATGTATACATTCCTTCAGCGTTCGGTATCGGTAAGCATCGCTTTCTCATTGCCAAGCTCCCGTCCTTCGGCTTCGCCGGTCGTCTGACTCGTTCATATGTTCAGACGCGATCTGACCGGTCGCCCGTTCTGTAAGAGTCTCATTGTCTCTGATTCTGAAGTGCCGCTTGGTGTCTCCGGCGTGCCCCAGGGCAAGATTTGCTGCGTTATTAGATCTTCCGCACGCTACAGATACGCGATGCAGGGTACATAGCTGGAAGACTCTTTCCCCGGACCTGCGCGGTTGGTGAGAACTTTTCTGAGGGGGCTCGGACACAGATCTCAGATCGGCCTCCTAACGCCAGCGAAGAATCGTGGGAAAGTTCTTAACGAGTATTCGATCGGCAGCGACCCCAACCCAACCCAATCAGAACCAATGGCCCTGATGCAACGATTCCACTGACGGCGCAGAGACAACCCGAATGAGCGACCGTGGCTAGAAAATAGGATTCCGGTTAGTGTGGAAAAGACCTCCCGATTCGGTCGCGACCGTCTCCAAAGATCATCGCCATCATCATTGTCCCACTCCCGGCGCAAAACTTCTTCTACGAGGAATTTTCACCCGCTCATTCGAACGAACTCGCGCACGGGGTAGGGGGAAAACTCACGAATGGCATTCCCAACTTACGTTCTCCCTCTGGGAAGAAACCGTCCTGCGAATCGAAGCGCTTCCAAGATCTCTCTGTCGAGGCGAAAGTTGCCGCAGCAGCAGCAGCAGTAGAATCTCCCGCTGGAATCCCTTCCACACGTTAGCGTCATCGTACCGTCGGCTAGCTCAGCGCTTAGCGCGCAGATCCAGTTGGTGCTTGGTCTTGTTCGTGAAGAGGAGTAACGAGGTGCTCGATACGTTTTTACTGTTGTGGAGGTTTGCTCTGCTCAACTCAGAGTTACTCGATAGGGTCTGTTCCCTCGGTTGGGAGTTAAAAACGTGATCTCAGCAGGTTATGGTGAGTGTGGAGCGAGCTGCATTGTTGCTCCCAGAATCGCTCTGTCGTTCGTCGTTTCAGGGACTTCCTGTTGCTTCTTCCGCTGCGTCCAAAGGCTCTTGCGACGCTCGATTAGTTTGTCTGGGAGTGCTTTTCCCTCAAACATTTACAAACATCCAGAAGCGGTTGTCGCCTTCACTGACACCTGCTCTCTGCCTTCTGCCTTCGATCAGCTGATCATTACGAGAGTTCGGACCCGGTTTTCGACAGGGGTGGAGCGACTGGGGACGGGTTGTTCAACAAGCAAATATTATTTTTCGAACGTTCAGAATCTCTGCAGTTGTGCAACGTCTCATCAGTTCGTGTCGGCTTCCGTCGTTATGATTCGAGCTACGCTCTTAGATCTCGATAATTGGACCATATATTTCAGTCTACATAGAGGGTCCCTGCAAAATTCTGAGCGTAAACTCCAGAGATAGGGCAAACTGTGGAATTATCGGTCCCGTTCGAGAATTTGACCCTACCGTGACCAATGGTCCGAGAGCTCCTGAAAAAAGAGACTTCCGTTGTCCCTCCTCCTTCAAGGTCCGAATGGAACGTGGTACGATTTGCATTCGGGATCCCGCTGTCTTCGCGGCTCTTTTCCGAGCTTCTGTTCGGAGGATTCGTGACAATGGAATGCTCCGTCAGGGGCTGTGCGAGACATCCTCAAGTCAACGACTGATTCATTCCGGGATTCCTTACGGAGAGATATACAGAAATCTCCGCACGTCATTCTGGCTGGTCTCTCGACGTGGCGACGGTCTGATTTTCGAGCGGAATGATCATGTCAAATTGAGATCTCGACCCCTCTTTTTTCTCGTCGAGCTTTCGGAGTTGCATTATGAGAGCCAAGAGACCCGATGACATGTCTCGCAGAGATCCTGCGGCTGCATCAACATTGAAGGCTTTACGCAGAGCCAATAGTAAACAAAGGTGTCTGTTCTCAGTGACAAAGCCAAACATCTTGAAATTCGCTCATCGTTCACGCTTCATGTTCCATCACGAGCCTTCAGCGAAAACGAGATCCAGTGTGAATTCTCGAGAAGTATTCTGTAGCCTGGCGGGGGTGCAGGCTCGTTTTCGATCCTCAATTTGTTTAAAAACGTCTCATTTGGCTACCGATACCATGATCGATGTGAACTGACAGACCGGACTTGGCTATACATACTCCTGTAGAGACTCCCGGCACGGTCCGTCAAGCTCACCAAAGCGACGCCGCACCATTCATTCCGTTTAGAAAGTTGTTGGTAACATGATAACATATACACTGTGCATGAGATGTCATTGTGACTCCGAGATCATGCAGTGGTAGTCCGTCAGGTGTAGCTATCGGCCAGGGAGCGTTCATCCAATTTCCCGTAGTGTCTTCCCTCGTCTGCTCATTCGTGCGATCCAAGATACCTAATTCTTTGGAAACGTCTTTTCGATGTATAGATCCGACGTGGAATAATTGATTTTAAAGCCTTGTCGGCGGTGGTTGGCTCGCTGTTGCAATCTCTGTGTCAATGTCGTCCGACTGAGTTTCCGATGGCAACGCATCAATCGTCACTCGTCGCATGGATGACATCTTCGTCGCTGTAGGCTACTTTCACCCAGACCAAATCCTTTCTGCTGTCATTCCATCGTGGCAGCCCTGAGATTCGACGGAATTCGGCAGGACACCGTCGAACTCGCTTGTTCCGCCGAACCCGTCCCTATCGGTTTTTGCATCATCGGATATCCGCAGCTTGGTTTCTGTAACGACCGGTTCTGACAGCGATCCTGTCACGATTTCGCGCTACTCCCCCGTTTTGCCATGATTTGCTTTCTTCTTTTCTCCTCCACCATCCGTTGCCACTTGTTTGAACTACGACCTGTCGATCGCTTGTTACTCACTCACTGAGTCAGTCTCGCTCGCTCGCCCTCGGTTCGATCTTCTGCTGACTGCTGAAAGTGTCATGGCAGCAGCCGACTCAATTTCTGGTGACCTTTAGATCGACCGAGTGTTACAAGTCGGTATCGCTGCAAGCGTTTCGCTTATCGCGCAGCGATAAGATCTGATGGACTCTCCTGAGACGACGACCGGCGGTGGCGGAACGTCCCCTCCTCGGAGTCGTATGCAATGTTGGAACTTATATATAGAAAGTCGATTGGCTGTCTCTATCTGGAGCTATTCCGGGATCTGCTGGGCAGTGGATCCCAAGTCGGCGGTAGTGCGCTGTTCCCCCGAGCGAAAGTATCCATAATGAGTTATTGGTCCGGACGATCCCGTTGATTGATATGACGCACATGAGCTCCCGCTGTTTTTGAGCGAGATTTGAGCATCGATACGAATTCCGAATGGGAGCTGTCGTGGAAAACACGAATGCTTGAAAGTTTTTTCCTTCAATTTCAGATGCCGAGCTAGTATCTCTTTGTTGCTGCGGGTGGCCTCAACACAACGCGTCTAGCGGCCCTCGTAGTGTTGTTACCTACGGCCAAGATGGTGGATCACATGACATCAGCTTTTTTGCACATCGGAGACATTGTCTCTCTCTACGCCGAGAGCACCTGCAATGGCTTCCTCTCCACACTCGGGTGAGCAGGTGATTCCGTCACGAAACGCCACGAAAACGATATTCGATCGTTTGGATTGAGAAGCTTCTAGTTGGAACGCGAATAATGTGCCCGGGACGTTGTCGAGAGATTCCGGGATTAGAAGTTCAGGAAGGAGAAAACAGTATGTCCCAATCCTTGGGCAACCATCAAATGTCTGATAAACTTTGAACCAGGCGAGATCTCGCCCCATTCACGAGCACTGAGGGAGAAGAGGAAAAGCACGGAATTTTCTGTGGAAATCGCTGTCGTACTTGCCGGCTTGGCGAACGGCACCGGGGTGACTTCTTCGGGGGCAAGTGAGCGAGGCGTGCAATGGTAAATGATTCGGATCTGCTCCGAACGGCGTTGCGCGCAGAGAAACTGCTGTCATATACTCTTCGAGCGGCGGGAGACCGCCATCTAGCGCAGCTTTGCTCGGCTGCTTGGAAGTTCTTCGGTAATTATGAAGCGAAAAATCAGCGTAGGAAGAAAAAGAATCAAAAGAAGACTCTCGGTGTTTGACTGAAGTCTCTCCCTCAGTAAGAGAATCAATGCCATCAGCTAATACAGGCTACCTTGATCTTTCGTGGCACGTTGGAAAGGCCAGCTGCAGAGAAAAAATCAGTCAGATCGCTCTTCCCAATTTGATTCTATCGAAGGTAGCTGTCGAAGACGCTACCGACACGATCCCTAAAATGGAATCCCGGTAGGAGCCGGGAAGAAACTTAGCCGGCGGACGGACGCTCGGGCGGGCGGACGAGCCAGCGTGCGTGCCAGCGATCGAATGGGAGCGCGGGCGGCCAAGCGGACATGCGGGGCTGCGCGAGGTGTAGTACCCGTGAAGGCAGCTTGCATTCATTCAGCACTTCCCTTCAGCAGCCGAGAACTGTCGTCTTCAACGGTCTGTGTCGTCGCTACCTGTTCGTATTCGACAGTCAAACACAAATCTGAGTCGATCATTGAGTTGACAAATCGATTATGAGGGATACGATGGATCGGCTGTCGGTTGCTTCGCGCCTTTTCGATTGAGCTCCTTCAGGGCTGCAGAGTCTAGAAGAAGCCAGCTCTCATCCGTCTGCCCATTGATTTGCGTCGGCGATCGGTCGAAATTCCATGAGTACACAAACAAGCGTAAACAGTAGCTGGAAACGAGTTCTTCTCTCAAAATGAGCGGATTCCCGAAACCTTGCTACAGACAGTGTCTGACAGCCATTACCTCGAGAAAATGAACGGCCAGCTTGATGGACGACCACAATGCGGTGGTTTGTCTATTTTGATTTCATGAATCGGATGAGTGGGTCTACAATGAATTTCTTTCACGAGATCTCGTTCGCTACGACATTGAGCACAGTTACTGCGCGAGAATCCGGTTTCAATCAGCTTTCGATGGAGAAGCCTAATTTCTAATCATTCGGTGTCATTTGGGACCGAGCCAACAATACTCGGATTTACGGTCCCATCATTCACGACACTTGATGAATTCATAAGAGGATAGCGATCTACTCTCGGACGGAATAGGCCGGAATGTCCATGACGCCCCGATCCAGGACGCCGCAGATTCTTCGGTGCTGTTCCGCAAGACACACTCCCTTTCGGGGAAGGCTGCTCATCGTCTTGAGTGATCTTTTATCCACCGAGTCTTCTTTCAGTCTCGTCGACGATCGATGTGTCGTCAACCCCGACGGCGGCGACCTCCGGAACCCGCCCAGGAAATTCCGGGACTGTTGTTTCAGAGTGTGCCCGATGAACAGGTGAGACTCGGATGTAAACTACAGGATTCGGATAGATATCAAGTCGGTGGAGCGATCGGCGGAACGGAGGGGGAGTTGCGCTATCACCGCGCAGCGGAACTTGGAGAATGGATCGAAGTTCAACGCTCACGTTCGTCTTTTTAGGTATTCGGCCCAGAAGCAGTTTTGGAAAGCTGCGCAGTCATCCACGTCTTCAAAAGAAACCGAGCCTCTGCTGGTTATGAAGTTGAAGGTCAGTGTTCGCAAAGTCCTCGTTCATGGGAGATTTCATCCGAATGGATTTTGATTTCTCATCCGTTCTTTCGATCCATTTAAACAGCATGCGGCGGACCTCGAGCGGAAGCAAAATGAAACTGAAAATCGAAAAATGGAAGGCACGAAAGTTCAATACGGCCAAGTGATTCAATTACTGCATCTGAAATCGAACAAGTGAGTTCGTGGACTTCAGTTGTGATTTAGCAGGCTTTCAGTCTCACGGATCAGACACGGGAGAAGATCCAGATCAATCAGCGAGTCTGCGTTTCCCTTCCAGGTATCTCACGGTTAACAAACGACTCCCCGCACTTCTGGAGAAAAATGCGATGCGAATGATGCTGGACTCGAACGGCAATGAGGGCTCTTGGTTCTATATTATGCCGTTCTACAAATTGCGTTCAACTGGAGATAATGTCGTCGTTGGCGACAAAGTGATTCTCATGGCCGTCAACGCTATGCAGCCTCTTCACGTGTCAACTTACGAGCTGCTCGATCACCCCGGGTGTAAAGAGGTTGGAAAAGCGTCATCAATCATTTAGTGGAATCAAAACAAGCTTATTCATTTTCTGCGTAATCCGGCATCCATTACAAAAAACGGCGGAATCTTCAATCATATGCTGATTAAAGGGATCCTTGCGTGAATCCAGGTGAACGCTGTTTCTGGGTCGGAGACCGGTCAGACATCGTGGAAAATCTCCCTTTTCATGGATTATACTGAGAACATCGAGGACGTCCTGAAAGGTGGTGACGTCGTGAGGTTATTTCACGCTGAACAGGAAAAATTCCTCACGATGGACGAGTTCAATAAGAAACAATACGTTTTCCTGAGGTAATTTCAAATGCAATGAACGGCTCGAGAAAGATCCAAACCCTTGTCCATCCCCGCTCAAGCACTCTCTGTCGCAGAAGGCCCCTCCAAGGGGTTCTGCGAGCTGATTCGAGCCTCTTGGAAGTTTGACCCTTCAGCTAAGCTCTTCCCTGAAAGCCGCGCCATGGCCGACGCCGCTTTTTCTTCTAACCGGCATTATCCAAAATTTAGGAAGCCGAGATTCGGATGCGGTACTGACACGCCTGGGGGCTATGAATTGAGAATCAGTCCCGCTACCGGCATCCTTCGTCTCCGGCATGAGTTCTAGTCGATGTTGCAAATGTGTGTGTCGAGATTCGCGATCGGAGGCGTCGCCGGAATTCCGCATCTGCGTGTGCAGAAACCAAAACCTCGAAGGGCCAAGCGCAATCAATGGCCGAAGAGCCAAGCGCCATCTATGGCCGAGGAGCCGTTCCCGTCTTTCGGGAGTTCGGGTGACGAAGTTTGATTCCCTCAGGCTTCGAAATTCAACGAACTCGTAGCGTGAATAGCGACAAGCCTTTTCCCCTATCTCCTCCCGTGACAATCGTGCCCGAAACCTAATCGATCGAGCTCGATTCCTTGGGGATAAACAATTCCCCTTCTCTCGCCGCAGAACCACGGGCCGAACAACAGCAGCCGCGGCAACAAGCTCCAAGGCTCTCTGGGAGGTGGAAGTAGTGCAATACGATCCCTGTAGGGGAGGCGCAGGGCACTGGTCCAGTCTCTTCAGGTTCAAACACTTAGCGACGGGGCAGGTGAGCTGATTTCAGAATGATTGCCATCCTTAATCTCCCCGCTGCGTTGCTCGGGAGCTCCCGGTTCCAACTTTCGTGCTCCGATTTTCCAGTACTTAGCCGCCGAGGTCGACGACGACGAGACGCCAGACGTCATGCGCACGAAGCTGCGAGGAGGCGATTCGAACCACCTGTACAGACTTGTGGCCGTTACCGATGACATGGATGCGAGCACGGTGTTTGAGTTGGATCCGACCACCCTCACGCGCAACGACGGTCTGGTCCCTCAGTCGTCTTACGTACGACTCCAACACCTGTCGACCTCGTCGTGGGTTCATTCTACCATGATACCAATCGACAAAGATGAGGAAAAGCCCGTGATGATGCGGGTCGGCTGCGCGTGCGTCAAAGAAGACAAAGAGGCATTCGCAATCGTCCCTGTGTCAGCCACGGAGGTCCGAGATCTCGATTTCGCTAACGATGCTTGCAAGGTACGGAAGGACCGTAGTTCGATGGAATTCGTAGTCCTTCGGAAGTGAACGATGATTAGCAAAGGATCGAGTATTTTCTTTGCTCCGATGCAGGTGCTCCAGAAGATTGCAGCCTCGATCGAGAGCGGAGAATTCGCTCAGAACGAACGGAAAACTGCCACGCAACTACTTCAAGAGGTAAAAACCCAATTAACATAAAATCGGAGAAACGTCGACTCATGACGATCAATGTTGTCCTATGCGAGGCTTCCGGGGTCGATAACTTTCTATTGTGATTAAGAATTTCTGCGTGATAATTCTCGTTTAGTGGGGCTCGTTCCGCGGGAAGCGGGGGCAGCATGCTCGGACTGGGATGCGATAGGGGAGATGTGTACAAGCAATCAGCGTATCCAGGGTCTCGGCGTTAATGATGGAATATAATCGAAGCACTAAACCTGGTGGCAGCCCGTGAAACTGCATCGACAGAGGGGCATCCGATTTTATTGGATCGGGGAAAGGGAGGAGCTTCTCGATCTTTTCCATCAACTCCGGGAACGTACCGGACGAGCTTCCGCAATCCTCTGTCGTCGTCGCTATCGCTTAAAAATGTGGCTTGGGTCCGCGGTCGAATCACGAACATTCCGACCAGGAGTTAAAACCGATTGTTGTCCGAAACCCCCTGAACTCCGTGAAGCACTGAAGTTGCATGTCCTCGCTGCGTCGCTTTGCATGTGTTGAGCCTCATAATGCATTGACCTCTAGGTGTGTTCGCAGATCATCTACTTCACTGCGAATCAGGAGAACGATCCCAAAAAGGGTGACGCTCTCGAGCTGACTGTCCATGACCCGAATCGGGAACGGCAGAAACTGCTCAGGGAACAAAACATTCTTAAGCAGCTGTTCAAAATTCTGCAAGCTCCGTTTAACGAAGACAGACCTGGTAGGTGCTCGGTAGGGAATTTCCAACGCCGTCGATAACAATCAGACGCGATCAGATGGATGGATGCTTCCTCGTTGATCAGAATGAATCCCCGTACGCCGGCCGTCGAGAGGATCATCGAATCCGGGAGAACACCTTCCAAGAGGACTCCGAGAGTCGTTCCCAGTCGGATGGAGGAACGGACGGACGGGCGGGCAGGCAGGCGGGATGGAGAACGCCTGTAGAACAAAAAAATATGAAATCTTGCAGGTGGGCCGATCCTACGGATGGAGGAGCTGCAGGACCCGCGGCACGCTTCTTACAAGCACATTTGCCGTCTGTGCTACCGAGTGCTCCGATTGTCGCAGCAGGAGTACCGAAAAAACCAGGAGTACGTAGCGAAATGGTTCGGCTTCATGCAGAAGCAGATCGGCTACGACGTCTTAGCCGAAGACACCATAACGGCTCTGCTACACTCAAATAGAAAACTGCTCGAGAAGCACATTGGCGCATCCGAAATCGAAACTTTCGTGTCACTGGTTCGGAAGAACCGTGAATCGCGTTTTCTCGATTACCTCTCTGACCTTTGCATATCAAAACGCGTGGCGATACCCGTCACGCAGGAGTTGATCTGCAAGAGTGTGCTTAGCGATCAAAACTCCGACATTCTCATCGAGACCAGGTGCGCATCTGGAATCGCTTCTCGAGCGAACATAACATCCGGAGACTCTCGGTTTCGGAGAAGGAATAAAATTGGTTCCGCATTTCAGAATGGTCCGGAGTCAAGTCGAAGTGGAGCTCGCCGTCGACTCACGCAGGAACCTCGATCCTCTTTTGACCATCGAGGAGGACGACGAGGTTTACCTCACTTGGGATAAGGGCGAACGCAGTAAAGGCATCATACAATTAGCGCAGGCAGCGAAACAGTACCTTGAAAAGCCTGACGGGCATGTGGACGCCGAGGAAGATGCCCGCATCCTTGACTATTATCGGCATCAGCTGGACCTTTTTTCGGGAATGTGCTTGGACAGACAATATTTGGCTATCAATAGTCTCTCGACTATACTTGACGTAGATCTGATACAGAAGTGTATGGCCGATGAGAATCTGCCATACGATCTGCGAGCTGCGTTCTGCCGTCTTATGCTTCACATGCACGTAGATCGCGATCCGCAAGAGCAAATCCAGCCCGTGAAATATGCACGACTCTGGAGTGATATCCCAAAGCAACTTTCCATCGAAGAGTACGTATTCTTCAACAATTTTGAGATGGATCGGAAGCGCGTCCCGTTTCATTTATCTGGTCATTTCTGTTGTTCCGTTCACAGTTATGACGCCAACAAGAACACGGACATTTCGAAGAAAGAAGAAGTACAACGAAAATTCAAAAAGACGATCACCTTCGTCGAAGACTACTTATGCAACGTCGTTGGACACGTGTGGTCGTTCCACGATCGGGAACAGAACAAGCTCACGTACGAAGTGGTGAAACTGGCTCGGGAACTTATCTATTTCGGCTTCTACTCCTTCAGCGATTTGCTCCGTTTGACAAAAACTCTCCTCGGGATTCTCGACTGCGTTCCCGATACCACAGTTCCAACCCTGACAGGTCTGTGCCGCGACTGATCCTCGGAGGGGAGCTTATGGAGCTGTTGTGAGCTCCGGTTTGATTTCGATAATTTCGACGATTCCGCTATTCGCAGATCAAACGACGAATCTCGACTCAATACTGAACACAAACCTGGCGAGCAAATCCAGCACTCCAATGGGGGCTACGCCGTCTGCGATCGGAGCTCTCCAACCGTCAGCGAAGGATACCCTCGTCATGGACACAAAACTCAAGATCATTGAAATTCTCTCGTTCATCCTAGATGTCAGACTCGACTACAGGTGATTCTTGAAGATGTCCCGTCCACCGGATGTTCTCCCAACGAGCAATAGTTTATACAGTGCCGCCAGGTAGCATTGCAGACGTTTTTCTTTCCTGATGCATTCTATTGCTACTGCAGGATAACGGGACTGCTCACAATTTTCAAGCGCGAATTCGACGATTCGCATGATAAAAACACCACCGACGATACCCTGACCATCGGGGACAAGGGCATGGATATGGCGAAAATAGCCAAAGAGGCCGAAGCGATATTCGGGGGCACAACGGATACCGCTGAAGTAGATTTGGATGGACACGGTGGACGAACTTTCCTCCGGGTAATTCCTCCGAGTCTCTGTTGACGCGCATGAATCGTCATCGAACGAACTTCCTTCCAACCAGAGTGTCAATCTTCCAGGTGCTGCTGCATCTCACGATGCACGACTATCCGCCTCTGGTGAGCGGTGCCCTGCGCCTACTGTTTCGCCATTTCAGTCAACGGCAAGAGGTACTCCAAGCATTCAAACAAGTACAGTTGCTCGTTTCGGATCAAGATGTGAAAAACTACAATCAGATCAAAGTCGATCTCGATGATCTGCGACTACTCGTTGAGAAAAGCGAACTGTGGGTGTACAAGGCACGCTCTCAGCAACATCAGTCTCTGTTGACTCCCAACGGTCCTCTCGCCAACGCTATGCTGGTTCCCGCCAAGGTCAATATTGGATAGTAGACCTCTCTGCCTCCTAATAATGCAGGGAGTTCTCCTCTTCCTTCATGTTCGAGATGATTCCACCGAGCTGGACGAAACATTTTCAATGCCCGCGATATTTTTCCTCCCCCAGGGTCCTCTAAAAATCCAAGAAGACGGAGAGGAGAAGAAGGAGGAGACCAACCTCTCAAGAAGACCCCGAACTCCCAATGGAGTCCCGCCAGATACCCCAGAAATCCACGGAGTGAGTGAATCGATCGGTTTTTGCGCCCGCGGAACCTGTCTAGGAGGGTCGTCATCACCACCTCAAATTTTCTCAGGAACTTCTCGCCGCCAATGTGGGCTCTCCCATCGATCTCAATCACGGCCCTCAGTTGGATGAGCATCAGCAGGAGAATTACAAAAAGATCCAGCAGATTCTATTGAGGTTGACGAATCTCTGTTATCAAGATAAGAGCTCACCGGTCAACAAGAAGAAGCACGAACAGAGATTACTCCGGTAAGCGGGACCATCATCTAGGAGGGAGCTTGAAAATATTGCGGTATCCGGCTGTTTGTGCATTAGAACGGGAAATTCGACACGATTTCACTTGGGATTTCTCTTCATTTACCTGCAGAAACATGGACGCGCAAGCAGCGGTTCTGGATCTGCTCGCTATCCCCTTCGAGAAGAAGGACGATCTCCGCATGATGGAATTGATGAGATTGGCTCATAACTTCTTACAACATTTTTGCCGGGGAAATCACTATAACCAGGCACTTCTGCATAAAAAACTGGAGCTTTTCCTCAATCCGGGCGTGAGTAAAGTCTCCCAATCTTCCCGAAAAGTCATGAGGAAGAAATCCCTGCTAGGCCCTGGTTCCCGAAACAATGACTCTGCTAAGGCAGTCTTCCGCTCCACAGCTCCTGGAAGCTCAGTCGATGTGTGCAATTTTCAATGATAATCTCTCCTTATGCAACGAAGTCACAGAGAGTGTCGTGCAGCATTTCGTGCATCTGATAGAAACACACGGGAAACATGTGCAATATCTCAAATTTCTGCAAACGATCGTCAAAGCGGAGGGTGCTTACAATAGGAAGTGTCAAGACATGGTCATGCAGGAGGTAAGATTGATTCCGTTCCCTCGGCCTCGCCCTACATTCCCCAGAGACGTATCATCTTGCCGGAATCGCAATACCAATTTTAATATCGCTGTCGATTTCTCAGTTGGTTAACGCGGGCGATGAAGTGCTTATATTCTACAACGAAAAGAATAGTTTCCCCGAGCTCATCAAGATGATGAATGATCCCAAGCTGCGCAACGACGACGCTGGCTCCCTGCGGTATCATATTCAATTGGTGAAACTGCTTGCTGCCTGCACCGAAGGTGTGTTAGACGTATGGGGAAGAAATTCATACGAGGTCCCAGAATCGACTCCCGCGTCGGGGAACCGTTTCCTCGCTCTCCCGATTTGATTTTTGCTTCTTTTCTAGGGAAAAACGTAGTCACAGAGATAAAATGTCATTCGCTCCTGAATTTGGACGACATTGTCCGGGTAGTGACACACGAGGGCTGTCTTCCCGAAGTCAAGGAGGCTTACATCAACTTCTTATCGCACTGTTTCATTGATACTGAGGTCGAAATGAAAGAAATATACACGAGTCACCACATCTGGACGCTTTTCGAAAGTTTCCTGAAAGACATTGCCAAAGTGTCGGCGAAGGGATATAGAAAGTGAGTTTCACTCGGGCCTTGGAAGGATGTCTCCTCCTCCTAGCAGGTAGCGAGATCATGTTCGGTAGGCACAGAATTGATATAAATGGAGTCCCTCTACAGCGACGATCAACTGCTTGAAAACTACGTCACCAGCTCGGTCATGAACATAGTGACAACCTTCTTCAACTCTCCCTTCTCCGAACAATCGGCGGGAGTGCGGGTGAGCTCCTTCGATCTGACTGAGAAAAATATAAGGAGAAGCAACTCCTCTTCTCGCGAGGTGAAATGTCCTAAATCACCGAATTCCGCTCACAGACGCATCAAACTATTTTCATCCAATTGATGCGCGCATCGCATGAGTTGACGCAGGCGCACTGGGTCAGCATCCCCCAAAAGATGAACATCGAAACCTGCATCAAGACGTTATGGGACATCGGTACGTACCCGGTTCCGGAACACCACGGAGCGTTCCCGTCGCGAATCCTCATGACGCATGTCATCTCTTCACTTCGATTCCTGCTGATGATGCTTGACTTGCAGCAAAAAAGCGAGGAATCGCTGTCCCCGTGGATCTGGAGGCCCAGGTGGCCTCCCTCTTCGACAAAACCGCGGCAGCCTCGAAGCAGGCAAGAGTCTGGGTTGCGCGAGCACGGAAAGACAACGCGTCAGGACCGCCTAGTCCCCAAATCGTGGCGCCGCAAGCCTTCGGAAAAAGTTTCGAAAGGTATTTCGCCCTTCCTTTACGTTCATGGGTGGGAGTAATCAGATGTGGGATACTATCGATTCCCGGATCAGCAACGGACCTCTACGGAGATTTTTCGCGGGGCAATGGTGTCTCGCATCTTGCCGTCGGAAACACAATCTAGTGTACCAATGGTGATCCAGATTGAGTGTTACAACGACTTTTATTTGCACGCTCACATTGGATGGCTCAGTCCCAAATCAATAGATGAGCCCGATTATTTCACAAGGTAATCTTCGCACGCCTGCGTTATTCCATGCGCTGAAGTCCACCGTCCGCTTCAAGTCCGTCCACGCTTCCCGCTCGATCGCTGTCAGTGTGTGATTGGGAAGAAATGCTCTAAACTAATTATTCAATTCACAGACGCACCAGTCCGCCCGGGAGTATGTCGAAGACGACTCCGAGCGACAGGACTATAATCGAAGTTCTTCAAGTAAGTCCTGCGTGCGCATCGACTGCCGGAGCCGACTCCCCATTGAAACTTGAATCCTTAATGGTGTGAAATCGCTTCCCCAGGAAATCGTGTGCCTGCTAGAAGACCAGTTGCGTCCTCTGGTCCAGAGCGAGTTATCGGTGCTCGTTGATGTCCTCCATCATCCCGAACTTCTCTTCCCGGCAAACACCGACGCCAGAAGGAGGTTCGATACATATGTAAAATGTGTAAATATTCAGAGCTCGATCAGAACTCCCCTGCTGTTTGGGACTCCAATGATTGATATTAACGTATCGCCGACGTTGCGCCCCAGGTGCGGTTCGGGCGGCTTCATCTCGAGGTTGATTCGTCACACGGAGCGACTCCTGGAGGAAAAAGAGGAACAGCTCTGCGTGCGAGTCCTCCAAACTCTCAAAGAAATGATGTCATCCCTGGACTCGGACTACGGCGATAAGGTACGCGTTAATATCTCTGGCGAGAACTAGCTGATAAGCTCGTCGATCGAATATTTCCGACATCAGTGGAGAGGGTCCATGGGGGATTGGACTTACTCGAGAGATGAGTCGACGAGCCTGCGACGATTTCCATAAATGCTAATGTATACGTTTCACGCTGCTATCAATCGGATCAGATTGATCAGAAGCTTCTAACGCAAAAAGAACTGCTTGACATCAAGAGGGTGAGATTAGGTGTTGAATCCGTTGGTAGAGAGGCGGGAGAACAAAATAACAGAGCTCTCCTGAAAATTTCGAGCTTCTCGGTTGAACGCTATGTGGCAATCGCTTATCTCTCCCTTGTAGGGTGAGCAACTGCGGGAAGCTCTTCTCATGCGTTACTTCGGGAAACGACCCGTAAGCGGGACTCGTGGTGAAGGAAGCAACGCCATGGGAGCATCGTCGGCTTCCGGTGGTCTCAACTCTAATCGACCTCTCAGGTATGCCTCCTCCCCGTCTACACTCCTTTTCGCCCCTCCGGCCGTCACCGCATTTTTCGCAACACCGCGTTTCATCGACAGCCGCACCGAGGTGCAATGCCATCTCGACCGAGAGGGCGCTTCTAATCTTGTGGTGGAGCTCATCATGAAGAACCCGTCGCACAAAATTTTCGTTGAGACTGTGGAACTGGGGATCGCACTGCTCGAAGGTGGAAACAGTGTCATCCAGCAGTCGGTGCTCAACAAGCTCATCTCAGGCAACTCTCCAGAGAAGTTTTTCAAGGTACTCCTCCGGGCTCTAAGTACATACAAACTATAGGTAATCATAAGTGTTCATTGCTCCTATCCCTTGGTGACATCGTGTGTTCCGACTCATTCAAGGTGTTCAATGAGAAATTCGCCAAAGCTCAGCAGGAAATCAAAAACACTGTGATGGTCTCAACTGTTGACGTTCACAAGACCAGCAGTGGATCGGCCGGAAGCAAGGATACGAAAGGTAGGAGTGTTGCGAAGGAGTGTAATCCTCCTATCAGCTTCTCGGTAGAAGGAGGCTAATCTCCACGTTTCTGCGACCCACAGAGAAGAAAAACCATGCGGCGATGTCGAATGGTAAAATCGTCGTCAACGAAGAGTTGAAACAGGAATTGGAGGAGGCCGCACAGGATGCTTCAAAGGGTTACGCGCAGATAAAGCAATCTGGCGCCGTCGTTGGCGTCGGGACCGCCGTCGACACGGACCCGAATCCTAGCAGTGAGTTCCCTCCCCTACGGTTCCGTAAGCAGGAGATACAGGATGGAAGACCGAGGCTTCAGGATCTGAAAGAATAGGGGGTTGACCACTTCAATAATCGAATTCCAGTGCAACTTTCTCTGGTGGAAGAGCACACGGAGCCTAAAGCCGGTCAGAAGGAAGATGAACCGAAACTACATCAGAACATCTCTGTCATGCAACCAGTTCTTCGCTTCTTGCAACTGCTCTGTGAAAATCACAATCAAGCTCTCCAGAACTTCCTTCGCTCACAAAGCAACAAACACAACTACAATCTGGTTAGTTTCTCTTGCTGATCGTCGTTCCGATTCGTTCGCGATCTCTTCATGACTGCTTAGCCAAATCGTCTTCCGAATACCAGGTGTCTGAGACGCTCATGTTCTTGGATTGTATCTGCGGATCAACAACCGGAGGGCTCGGTTTGTTGGGTCTGTACATCAACGAGAGCAACGTTGCTCTCGTGAACCAGACTTTGGAGACCCTTACCGAGTACTGCCAAGGACCTTGCCACGAAAACCAGGTAAGGCTCGACGAAGCCTCCAGAAAGATCATCTGTAATAATAATGGCTTCGGATCAATCCTTACTACGGACCCCTGATCTTTTTCTCACGTTCCCATTCCTCTCGAAGAACTGCATCGCGATGCACGAATCCAACGGCATCGACATCATCATCGCGTTGATTCTCAACGATATCAACCCGCTCGGGAAGAAACGGATGGATCTCGTTCTCGAACTCAAGAACAACGCATCGAAGCTCCTCCTGGCCATCATGGAGAGCCGAGGAGCGGACCTGGAGAACGCCGAGAGGATTCTCTACAACATGAGTCCGAAGCAGCTGGTCGACGTCGCCTGCAACGCCTACCACCAGGACGAAGAGGATGACCTCGACGACGACCTCGACGGGAATCTTGATGCCGACTCGGCAACGGACGATACCGGAGTCTCGCCAAAAGAAGTCGGTCATAACATCTACATTCTCTGTCATCAGCTCGCTCAGCACAACAAAGAATTGGCGGCTTTGCTCAAACCTAATGAGCAAGATCAGGATCCCAAAGTCTGTCTGGCGCTCAAGTATTATGCGAGTCACACAGCCCAGATCGAAATCGTCCGACAGGACCGGACGATGGAACAGATAGTATTCCCCGTGCCGCAGTTGTGCGAGTTCCTCACGCGAGAAACGAAAACCTCTGTCTACCATACGACAGAACGCGACGAACAAGGCAGCAAGGTTTCGGACTTTTTCGACAAGTCCGACGATCTGTTCAACGAGATGAAGTGGCAGAAAAAACTCCGCAGCCAGTCCATGCTGTACTGGGTGTCTCGACACATGACCGTCTGGAGCACGGTCTCGTTCAACTTGGCGGTGCTAATCAACGTGCTCGTCGCGATTTTTTACCCATTTTCAAAGGCGGCTGAATTGACGCCGCACTTGGCGGGACCCAGCTGGTTCTTTTTACTGGCGTCGATGGGTCTCGTGTTGTTGGTTCCGCGGACAGCGTCGGTGCGAACGTTCGCGGTCGCACTCGTCGTGCGATTGATGTATTCGATGGGTCTCTACCCGACGTTGATGTTATTGGGCGCGTCGAACGTCCTTTTCAGCGGAGTTCACCTAGTCTCGATCATGGGTAATCACGGAACGTTTACCAAGAGCGCCGGTCAGATCTTGACCGACCTCGAACTTCTCTACCACGTCGGATACCTGATGGTGTGCGTTTGTGGACTCTGCGTCCACCCTCTGATCTACAGCGTTCTCCTTCTGGACGTAGTCTATCAAGAAGAGACGCTTTTGAATGTGATAAAATCAGCGACGAGAAACGGCAGGTCGATCCTGCTCACAGCGGTTCTTGCACTCATCCTCGTCTATCTCTTCTCCATTGTCGCATTCCTGTGGTTCCGCGACGATTTCCTCATCGAAGTCGATAATCCTCAGGACGACAGGATGATGGGCTCACCGATCACCACCTCTGCACCGCCATCTCTGAACACGAACTCAGCCATCACCGACTACCTCAAGAACCTCCACGCCGACGCCAGCTTCTGCGTGCGGAAACAAGCCGGAGAGCCTCCGGACTGCGATAGCGATATCACGGATTCGATAATGGACGCTGTTCGACGAGCTCGCCTGGGCGAGAACTCCGAGCAGTCGTCCGGTGACGGGCAGAGCGCGCCGGCCGAACAGGTAGAGGAGACGGTGAAGGAGCGTGCGTGCGACTCTCTTTTCATGTGCATTGTGACAACTTTGAACCATGGACTACGCAACGGTGGAGGTATCGGTGACGTTCTCCGGCCGCCAAGCAGCCAGGAACCGCTGTATTTTTTCCGTGTGGTTTACGATCTGATGTTCTACTTCATCGTGATTGTCATCGTTCTCAATCTGATATTTGGTGTGATCATTGACACGTTCGCTGATCTTCGTTCCGAAAAACAGCAGAAAGAGGAAACGCTCAAGAACACGTGCTTCATCTGCGGTCTTGAAAGAGCCGCGTTCGACAACAAAAGCGTTAGCTTTGAAGAGCACATACGCAACGAACACAATCTTTGGCAGTACCTCTATTACATCGTCCTCATCAAGGTCAAAGGTAAATTAGCTGAGAAGTCTCCGTTCCCGGAGCTCGTGATCTCCCACCATGAATATTCCGCATGTCACTTCGGTGTGTGAATGATAATTCATGCTCCGTCCCCCAGATCCCACGGAGTTTACGGGCCCGGAGAGTTACGTGGCCTTAATGATCAAGGAACGGAACTTGGATTGGTTTCCTCGAATGAGAGCCATGTCGTTGGCGGCCGACGACGCCGAGACCGAACAAAACGAGATGCGGGCAATGCAAATTCAACTGGATCAGACTCAGAAACTACTCCTCACAGTCACACAGCAGCTGAGCGACGTCAAAGAACAGGTTTGTGAATTATATCAAAATCGTTTTACTAGGATTGAACGGCTCCATCCCTTCACCGTTTGATCACCATTCGTTGTCTCGTCATGGCATTACTAGCGGATAATCAATCGACGCACAGTTGCGGTGATGCGTGAACGATAGTAAATGCTTCGCGGAGAAGCGAAATTAGAGATGATTGAAAGATTTCTCGCGGATCTGCACAGGTTCGTGCCCGCTGGACGCACCGCCATGCCGCGAATTCTTCAGATCATCTGAAGCATGAAAATTTCCACAAATCCCGGGCCGGAACCTTTCTTAAGATACCCCGTTGTCAAACTCTTAAAGATATCAAAGCCGATAGGAACAGTGAGTGAGAGAGCGCTTGGGTGTTCACGTGATCATTGACGTCTACATCGCCGAGGTTTGTCTCGGAACCCGTTCAGAGCTGATGTATGGCATGCACGAGGAGAGTCATGGCCATGGCCCTCCTCCTCCTCCTCTAATTGCATGGTGCCAGGGGAGCATGATCTAGTGCTCTGATTGTGTAGCTTTCCGGAGGATCTCTCCACGATGGTTATGAATACGTCTCTCGAATTCGCTTCGATCTACGCTTGGCAGTGAATGTCGGTGGGATCGGTGGTTGCGATAGTCGTTCGTGTATTCTAAGGATCTTTCTCGCACCAGTTATCGGAGAGCCGGAAGCAGCGGCAGAGACTCGGTCTGTTCAGCAGTCCGATCCGTGGACCCACCCACAACCCGAACGCGAGCGCTTTCCTTCAATCTTCGAATATGTCGGGAGAAGGCAACTGACCTCGAAGAAAGTCTATGGTTTCGAGCACCCCGATCTTCTCGCCGATCGATCCCCGTGGACCGAGAGACCCCGTGGGGATCCGACCTCTACAGCGCAGCCCGTCGTCGGAACCTGTCGATGCCTCCAGCAACCGACCCGTGTGGCTTTTCGCGGCGGTTTCGATCACCATCCTTTACGCTTCCGGGTTCTTCACCGGTCCCCGCTGATCGGGCGACGTGGACGACGTCCGGTTCCGATAGCCGTAGCATTGCCAGCCCGCGCTCTTAGAGTCAATGTATACACTTGTTGATGCTGAGGTCTTTGCGGCCCTCGTGATCGTCGTCGTCGGCGATGACTCTGAGGCGCCCGTCGTAAATGCGGATGAGAGCTTGAGATATCGATTTTTCTGATCAAGCATATCGCCTTGATAACAATTGTTGCTGCTGCTGTGAACTCGTCCCGGGTTACAGGAGCGCACGCCGCGCTGCGAATCTTCTCTGGGAACACTTTAGTTTTGTTGAGATTTTAGGTAGGACTTGCCCCATCATGATCCTTATCTTCGGCATCCTCTATTCTGGACTGAGCGAAGAACCGGGATCTCGATACGGAACGGGCTAAATCCCGAGGTTTGAGCATCGGAGAACTCTCTGAGGTCTTCATGGTACGTTTTAGTCGGTGTGGTACATTTCGCCGAAAATCAGGATCGAAGATCCCGGGCGGTTTAGTGATCGGGTGATTTCCGTGCAAGATAGTACAAGATCTGTTTTTGTGCTCCTCTTATTCGTCCGAGATATGCTTCCGCAAATAGTGTTTGTCTCCTCATTCCGGTCTCTATACAATTGCATAGATCTGTCGCGGACGGAATCAATATCCGAGAGTACCAGCGTTTGTCGATTTTTTGAGTACGTGCAATAATATCCAGCTTAGGATCACATGTATGTATATACAGTTTGATATATTTACGTTGCAATAAAACCTATTTACGGATGTTCGAAAGCCTTATGAGATCTTCTTCTTCTTCTCCATCCGACTCGACCCCGTTTTCATGATCGAGAACATCGATTCCCAACTCGCAACCCCTCCCCGTGGAGGCTCCCCATCGGTCGCTTCGTTCGGCGACCTCTCTTCGAAGGAACGAGACGACGGCAGTTCGAAAAATCCGATCCACCCGACCCGGAGAGGTTCGATCCCCTTCGGCGAAATCCAAAATACCTCAAGGCTGCGATCCACCGTCGGCTGCCGAAAATTCGTGCATCCTCGGTAATCGATCCGGATCTATGACGCAATATCAGTAGAGTAGGATCGTCGTTTCAGTTTACTCTATGGCTGTTTTACCTCCTACGGAGACCGGATCAGCGCAGTGGAAGGCACTGCGAGCGACCATGTGCGAGTTTTCCGAGGCGATCTTTTTCAGCCTTCCAGCGGCTCGCGCTCCAGAAATCGCGCGCGCATTGTACGCGCATTCATGACCACTATCTCGGATCTCAGGCGGGTCCCCGAAGCTTGTTATTCGATCAGACATCGCCTTGAATCTGCTGACTCCTGGATCCTAGGCGTTGTCGACTTTCCCTTGAGCCAGCAAAACCGCGAAATCCGCTGAACGCAGCGCATATGGAGGGTCAGGAACTCGTCTCTGGAAGAGGCTGGCGCTCGCTCTGAACTTCTATCCGAGCTCATTGATTGCCCCGCCCCTTTTTAGGTTTCGTCCAACTGTGCGTGCCTATCACAAGTCATCTTTCCCCCGGAAATCTCCGGAGAGGCTCTCGTGCGCCTCCCGCGTCAATTAGGCTCTTCACCGCTCGATATTATTCGATAGAAGCGGTGGATTGAGTGGAAAATATAGGAACAGACGGATCTCCGGCGGATTTATTTCAAGGAACATAAATTCAATGAAAGATTCAGCCGATGATATGTCCAGAACGATATTGTAAGAGGTTCCCTCTCATGGTGAAGCTCCTAGTCCCGTCTCTATGCACGACGTAAGCATAGATAATATATATTATGCATGAATATACGGTATAAGATCTGTACGAGCATCCGGCTCGCGCTCAGCTGTTAATGCTAGTGAGTGGGACGCTACCGACTTTTTTGAGAACAATTCACCCTCCTGGGACGCTGACACCCTCGACCGGAGCAAAAAATATTTCCCTTCAAGGGGACATTAGACGTTCAATCATGCTATGGCATCTTGTCTGCTCTTCTCTCTATCTTTCGTGAAGTCGATTGAATTCCCGTTTGCGTCCTCCCTGTAACCGTAGTAACTGTTCTTGACGAATTCGTCGTGTCGATCGTACATCTCATCCATGAGCCAGTGGTGAGTGAGTTTGCCGGCCTTTCCACCCAGGTCTTCTGGGAGAATTTCGGGCGATATCCACTCGTGAAGAGAGCTCATGTCACTAGCGTGGAGTTGCACTCTCTCGCGGACCTGTTTTGGAACATGTTTCGTTGATTGCGTATTTGTCCACAGAAAGCCTGCGCGGGTCTGTGCCCACTCGCTGGGAGCATCACTCTTGCTTTTTTTCTCTTGTCTTCCCGGCAGCATAAGAAACAAAACAGCGTATTCGACCGTCTGCCTACCTTCTGGTTGAGGAATGGCTTCCCGAACGCCCAGATAATGTTGTAGATGTAAGAGTTGTTCACGATATGAGCACCTTTGAAGCGAGCAGGATAGCCGTCTTGACAACAAGTCATCAACGCCTGAGAGACACGAATGACTTCGATATCAGTGTCGCCTTTCCCCGGCCAATGAATCGCGAGCACGATGATGAATATTCCGGAACTCACCCTCACGACATCAGGCTGGAGGAATTTCAGGTAACGCAATTCAAGACCTTTGAAATTGAAAATGATTCTGAAACCGTTCAATTGACATTCCGGGTTTTTCAACACGTAGTCGAATGCAAGAGCGACTGGAGTGTACGTGTCCATCAGATCGTAACCCGATTCCGGGGTCCAGTCCCCGAATTGCATCACAATGATAGCGGTGCCGTCATATGGATTGCGATAGGGCAGAAGCATTCCCATTCTCAAGTCGTAAAGATGTTTGATATCTCTCGGTCCGAGACCGATCGGACAGAATTTTTCTGGACATATCAATCGGCACCTGTAGTACTGCCGCAGCAGACGGAAAGCTTTGTCGACGTCGAACTTCTTCGCTCGTAGGAACCGTAGCAAATAATCATCTTCGATTCGAGCTACGAACTCGCCCTGCTCATTGAGGAGCGCCCTGAACTCTTCGAGAGTTTCTCTCCTCAGTTCCTCAGTTTCTCCGAGGTCGTCCCTTGCCCTCTCTGCGAAACCTGCTTCTTCTCTCCAGCGACGAATGTTGAATTTCTCCAACTCGAAATCAATCATTTTGTTGCTCCTGAAACGCGAAGGAAGAATGTTTTGTTCTATCTGACACACTAGAAAATTCGAGCTCCTCCGCGAGAGTGATGACAAGCATAGTTACTCAATTCCGCGCGTTCGTTGCGACAACGGTTGCACCTATTGTGAGACGAAGTCAACTTCGGCTGCAAGACGAGCGCTTGCGCAAACAGAAAAACTCGACTGAGTGAGTTCCGTTTGCTCAGAGCACCCATCCCACTTTCATCAGCTGCTTGGACGCGAGACAACAGAGGGCTTCGTTCGCCTCAGTGGTTTCCACCAGAAACCGTTCACAGACTTCGCTCACAGTCGGTATATGCACATCTCTGGCTTTATGAACCGAAGATCTCAAAATCCCAAGCTCGATATTGTCGAGCGGCTACATGGGCTTCTGAACTTTGATTCCTACGATTAGAGTGGAGGAGAACTTCCGGCCCGATTGTCGAAGGCTGCCCGGCTGCCGCTGATCTTTTCCGAAGATCTTCGGACCCGAATCTCGATTCCGAGGCTTGTTTTGATTTAGCGTCCGTGAGGTGGACACGAGAAAATGAGACTTTGACGTCACAGGTTCAGCCTCGGGGCGATTACACCTTCGCGCCATGAGACGAGCTCTAGCAAAATGTCGAGGTTGTGTAACATAACACTGCCTTTCGCTCTCGACGGGACGCTTCTCTTCCAAGATTATTGAATGCTCTTTTGATCCGAGATAATGACAATGTCAATGGCCCTCCATGTCTCCACATGTAACTAGCATTTACTCGAAGGCTAATTCATTTATCTGATGATACCGAGGTTGCATTCAGATAGTGATAAACAACAAAACGCATCCAGAAATACAATACATGAGATTGCAGGACTTTACTGTTTCTTCTCGTCACGACCGTGTGTCGCCGGATGCGGTGCAAAAGAATCCGGTGAAAGCAGCGGGGATCACAACCCTCGGGATCGTCCGACTCGACGTTTTCATTGATTCAAGGCGAACGAATCAAGCCTTCCGTTCGGCCCTCCCATGCGATCCGAATTAATCTCACCCGCCGATCTGATCTCTTCGAGAAAAAAACTCATCGAGAAGTTCAAGACCACTCGCAAACGGTGGTGTAATTCAGCTCGCAAGGGAACATGCGGGGGCCCAGATCTCTGATCGGTGCAGGAAAAAGTCACGCATGAACTGAGTCGAGCTCATCAGTCATGCGCAGCATGTTGTGAGTCGACCGCGCCTGGAAATCGTCACTCATGAGTCGAGGGGCTTCGGAGAACATTATTGATCATGAAACTTGCACCGTACCCTTCATTCGGACTTTCGGGTACAGCAATCGAGAGTCCCTAGCCTTCGAATTACTTATCGGTGTTCGGAGGTGGTGATCCTCTATCAACTCACTGCTGGCTGGTCTTCTGTATGGGAGGGATGCATTCCTTGGCTTGGCTAGGTCCGAATGATGGGAATTAGCCATCCCGATTCCCATACGTAATGATTCGGATTGAGCTCGCACCGGGAGGCATCACCCGACGCCAGAGTCGCGAAACAGCGGGGTAGGGCGAGTAAGATAGAGACTCCGAAGAATAGTTTCTGACCCGCAGCATCACGAGAAGTCGGACCCGAATACAAGGGTCCGATAATTTTCCGATGCGATCATCTCCGCACCGGAATCGGTTTGAACTCACACGGCGTCCAAGCACAACTCACGTAAGCACAAATCGTGATAGACCTCGGCTCATGAAGTGTATAGTAGAGTACTCACATAGTTGCCGTGTTTGAACTCTCTACTGGGTAATAGCTCTTCTCGTGTTCTATAGCTGTGTATCGACAGATGTGATCTCTAAAAGACACACGCGAGCAAAACGGAATGGGCGAGAGAAGACCCGCTCGCATATCCCGGTAATGGAATCTTCTGTCTTTCCTCTGTGGTATTCTCCGATATCGTTTTCTCAGCGGTTGCACTACTGTCTGCACCACAATCTCGCTCATCCTCGCCGTCGTACAAAGCCTCTGCGGGAAAGAGGCGGCTTGCAAAATTGATTGTTTTCAGCTAAGGCTCACTCTACCCCTGACTCCAGCACCGGAGCGCATTTTTCGATTTTTCACGTGATCCTTCAGTAAATACAGTTCATCAGCTAGGGTCACCCCAGGTGAGTTAACCCCAGCCCCGGAGCCGATCTGAGGATGCTTATCCTCAATCCGAGAGTTATAACCCCGGTCTCGACAGTCGTTCCCCGGCTCTTCATCGACCCGCGGAAGTTGATTGCCGACGGATTTCGGAGTGATGGTATCCCTTGATCATCATTCATCATCTTTCGGCTCCGTATTCCGCAGCCGGACGGTGCTGAGAAAAGGTTCACCGAGTCGCCGTAGACGAGAGATGCCGCGATCCCAAGCTAAGGAGGAAAATGGGAATTCCGCTGCTACGAAGCGAAGCATAAAGTTCTAACAAGTAGGCGGAGTCCCCCACCTTGGAAGCGCATGCACCCGCCTGGAGCACGCCATTCGGAAATAGCTTCCCATGGGGAGCGCGTACGGGTACATCGGTCAATGAGGCTCATTCAGCACTATAAATGTTCTTTTTTTCATGAGCCTGACTCGTTCCGACCCATACTAGCCTTCAATCCCCAGTGTATGGTCATCCGAGACCGAGCCTGCGTTCGAAGATCTTCCGCGTTCCCGACATTGCTTAATTCGACCGATTCCCTCGAAATTCATGGAAACAATTCCGAAATCGAAACATTCGCCATCTATTTTTATTCGGGTCTTCCCGGAATTCCGATTCCCGGAGCGGGGACAACTGTACTCAAACTTTGGTGGATGGACAACGACTTCTTCCACTAAGACACAAATCTGTCTTCTCGCGAGGAGCGGACAGAAATCCATTGACGTCAGTGTTCATCGGGTGCAACGAGTTCCGAAGAATCGTCGGCGGATTTTTTTTCTTGCGGAATATTCGTGTTCTGTCACGAAGTTCTGGAGTTCGACTCTACATAATTGGATGCGCGGTCCTAAGGTACTCGAGAATCCGCGATGAAATCTGGATCCTTGAAGCTGGAGATGGAGCTCACGTCTGCCAGAACGTGTTTGATATTTATCATCACGGTTATGAAAGTTAAAACTCACGAGCACATGAAGTCGCATTCTCGGAGCGAAATTCGAATGCTGCGGGGAATTCAAGAACTCTCCTTCTTGCAGACGACCCGCGATCGAAGCTGTTCCGGGGTTCGATTCGTAATCTAGTCGGCGTGGAGGCTCGATCTGGTGTCTCGAAGCTGATACTGAGAATCTCCAATTGACCGAGTGCGATCGGATTCTGGGATTTCGCCCCTCTTCTAGGTAGTGATGTGGAGTCCTCAGACGATTCCAACCAGGGAGTGTCGTGGTAGAACATCAGGGTCCGGGCGAGCGACTGAGACTATTTTCTACTTTCCGACGCGGCACAGTGGATCAAAATGAGTTCTTAGGTGGACAAAAGTCATTTCGAATGTTTCGTACCAACTAATAGCTCGGCATGAAGAGCGATGTCTGGAAGTCGGAAAACCATAGAGATCTCGGAATTTCCTGCTGCTGCTACGGAATACACAACTACCGAATCAGAAGTTGGAATTCGGGCATCATGTGACTCTTTTTCCTCTCATCAATGAATTTCAAAAACGAAGCCACTCCACCCTTTCCGGCGCGGATGGAGGTTTGTTCCTAGCTCAGTTCTCGTCCGGATCTTAAGTTTGAACGAGATTCAGACCGGATCAGACATGTTTGAGGTTGCTTAGAAGGATCTCATGGATTCTTCCGAATTTTGTCAAACTTCGCGATACCAAAAGTATAGTGTCCCCTCGCGGCCCTTGGAGCTGTCAAGTCTGGGACACTCATCAGACCTCCGGCAATCAGGGAAATAAATATGGTCACCCGGTTTACCCGGTTACCGAATAATAATTTATTTTCGTCACCATGAAAATCTCCATTCACGAATGAGAAGCATAATTCCTTGGAGACACAGAGACCATAAAACGCCGAATTCCTTTATTGGACGCCATCGTTGGACGTTCGCGGTTTGCACGTCAATGTGCAGATAACGGCAGCACATGCGCGAACTGCAACAACGGTATCCGCTCGTGTAAGCAAAGTTCGCATTCATACTCCTAGTGGTGCGGTAAACTCGAGAACCCCTGAAGAAAAAGTCATCGAGCGTTGACCCAGAAGTAGCAGCTTCACTGAGGGTCGACCCAGAGATTGAAGTCGGGTCCTCGGAAGTCAATGATGACACTTCAAGCACAGAATGTACGGATGACACGGAGATTTCAAGCGACTCTTCGAGTGATTTCTGTTATTGACTCTAAGAAATAACATAATGTATTATGATCGCCTAAACCGTGATTGGTCAGTTTTTTCTTGTATATCCCGACTCGGAGACACTTCGCAAAGCGAAATTTCACGGAAAATAATTTTGTCCACCTAGAAACTCATTTTGATCCACTGTGCGCGGTCTCAACGGGTAGCCTCGATTCTCCTTGCCCGGCGGGATGCTCTGAATGCGAGAACTTCAATATGCAGAAACAGTCCCACCACGCAAATCCGACGAGGAAACTTCGAAGGCAAAAGAAGTCTTATGCTTGCGCTGCTCCGATGGTAATTGGCGCTTCCTAGCTTAAAAAAATATATCTCCTGGGGCAAACGCAGAACTCGTCCTGAAGCGAGCGTCAGGGGGGATTGAACGCTGAGCAGCCGATCACATTCACAGTGCGAGCTGTGAATGGGCAGGCTTCCGATACTTCGTCGGATGAGTTTCGACGAAGGAGATCCTCTTCTGGCCGAGGAAACGCACAAGGAAACTCTTTCCATCCATTCCGGCAAATCAACAGAATCTCATCAACCCAGAGATTATCGCGTTTACGTCATTCTCGGGGCAACGTGCGTGCACCGCAGATGAGCAGAGCACCGGGTGGTACAGACTAACGGGAGCGGAGAGAGACACGAAAAATCAGAACGAGAGATATCGAAGAATTGAAGAATTCCTTAGTAAACGTTGGCAACTGAAAAGAAGAATGCGTGGCCGGAAGTTCGACGTTTGCCAGATAGTCCATGAAGTAATGGATGGATTGTTGCGTGTTTGCGTGCTCAAGATTACGGAATAGCGATCTTTGAGATCACGTCGAAGAAGACCTCGCAGAGTTCGCGACAAAAACAGGACATCACGCAGACTCGAAAGTTTTGTTGATGATGGAGGTAAGGAGAGGCCCCAAAAGAGAAAAAGTTCCCCGATAAGTCTCAAGGCAATATCCTAGACCTAAATCACAGGAGGAAAACAATGACCGGGGTCGCAGCTCCCTCTCAAACTTGATGCATATCGCTCTATCGAGGCAGGATGCTGACCCTCGGCATTTGCGGTAGATTACGCCGAGAAAGGAGAGGTCGAACAATGTTCCCAGCATGATGTCGCCCGATACAGAGTGAAACATCCTACCGACCTCTTCAGAGTTTCGGCTGTCAATCCGTGAATACTGGCATCGGAAGAGCCCGCGTCGACATAATTCCAAGCGGTTCGATTTCTAACACGAAGGGAATCGCTGATTGTATTTCAGCATCGGCAAGCGATACTCGAGACATTCTTCGGCTCCGACAAGTCTCAATCGGCGGCGGTCTGGCTGGCGATGATTAAACGTAGTTCATTTCTGTCTCCCTGAGAGAAAATTCTTATAATTCATCATGTCGGCGGCCGCGATTTTTTACCACTACTACGTATTCTTTCTCATGGTGGGGCACCCCAAACCACGACTTAGATGCGCCAGCGAATCTTCCCCGACAGAGCTAGCGAAACCGGTCAGCTCGGATTCCGAAGCCCCGTTATCTGGCCTAGGAATGGCCGACGGATTGTTGCGCGAGCTCACTCAGGAACTCAGAACAGATTCCACGGGACATCAAAGTTGGAGTTCGGGAAGCCCCTCTATCAGAGAGGATAAGGGTATCCCGATTGAGCATCGAGAATCACCATGACGACCCAGAGCCCAGAGCATTGTCGGGACGTAATGTCTTCTTGAGAGGAAACCCTTCTCATGATTTCAAGCAGGACAAGCGTCTCCCAAGAGATACCTCCGTTTTGCTGATCCTTGCGGCGATTGACCGACATCATGAGCGCGAACTGGCTCCGGTCTCCAGGAGATTCGCCTCCTGCTCCGACTCCAAGGAAATCAGTCGAACCCGCACCCATTGCTTCCTCGTCGCGCAAGACGTCATCCGGTTGAGTATCGCTCTTGAATAATCTGGACCCCCGCGACTATTCCGCAGATATACTCGGGGGAGAATCTCCGAGAAACTTACCGATCGCTCTGTCGGGAGTCTCGCTAAACTTCCTGGCTGATTGCAAGGGTACCATCGAGACTCTCTCATCTCAAAGTCAATCGATTAGCTGAATACATACCATCATAGAACGATCCTTGCAAGTACCTCGTGTATATTCGTTTCCTGTATGATATACGTAAGTGTGGGTCGAACTCGCAGATCCCTGACGGAGATTACTCGGAATTTCTCCGCATAGAACAAATCAGCGAACGCACGAGTGACTTCTCAATACCCCGCTCACTGGGTTCTTCCAAGATTCAGGCAGGCTTCCCAATGAGATGAGGCCGAAGCTACGGCGAACCTCTATCCGATGCCATTCTATTGGACTACTGGCTGTTGCTCATGAGCTCATTCTTTAGTGAGCTGATTTACGGGAATTATAACATTCCATGATCCGCAGACTCGGCAATCGGGTTGAATGATGACGCCTCCGCGGAGTTGAGGAGCTCATGCCTCGCTCAATAATTCAAGAGAGAAAGGTTGATTCTAC